TCATAGTTTAGGTGGGGCCAGGTAGAACGGAAACGCTCGTTTCTCAAAAAGTAGAGGGAATCTAACGGTCTCACTCGATCAGAAGGTGGGAAATATATAAATCTAGTCAGCTAAAAAGGTTTGAAATGTATTCAACGCACATGTATAGAGAAAATGGTGCATTGGCCAGGTCGGTCAGTATCGGAACTTAAAATGCAAATGCCAGGGAGAACGGAAGCGCTCAGATCTCGCATAGTACACGGAATCAAGTGGTCTCACTCAAATAGAAAGTAGGAAATATATTCATCTAGTGAACGTAAGGGTTTGAAAGGTAACTAACACACATGTGTAGAGAAAATTGTGCATCGGCCAGTCTGGCCGGCATTTCGCACTTATAGTGCAAGTAGGGCCAAGGAGAACGGAAACGCTCATTTCTCAAAAAGTAAAGGGAATCTAGCGGTCTCACTCGATCAGAAGGTGGGAAATATATAAATCTAGTGAGCTAATAAGGTTCCAAAGGAATCTAATGCATATGTATATGGAAAATGGTGCATTGGCCAGGTCGGTCAGTATGGGAACTTAGAGTGCAAATGCTAGGGAGAACGGAAGCGCTCAGATCTCGCATAGTACACGGAATCTAGTGGTCTCACTCAAATAGAAGGTAGGAAATAAATTCATCTAGTGAACGTAAGGGTTCGAAAAGTAACTAACGCACATGTGTAGAGAAAATGGTGCATCGGCCAGTCTGGCCGGCATTTCGCACTTATAGTGCAAGTAGGGCCAAGGAGAACGGAAACGCTAATTTCTCAAAAAGTAAAGGGAATCTAGCGGTCTCACTCGATTAGAAGGTGGGAAATATATAAATCTAGTGAGTTTATAAGGTTCGAAAGGAATCTAATGCAGATGTATATGGAAAATGGTGCATTGGCCAGGTCGGTCAGTATGGGAACTTAGAGTGCAAATGCCTGGGAGAACAGAACCGCTCAGATCTCGCATAATACACGGAATCTAGTGGTCTCACTCAAATATAAGGTAGGAAATATATTCATCTAGCGAACGTAAGGGTTTGAAAGGTAACTAACGCACATGTGTAGAGAAAATTGTGCATCGGCCAGTCTGGCCGGCATTTCGCACTTATAGTGCAAGTAGGGCCAAGGAGAACGGAAACGCTCATTTCTCAAAAATTAAAGGGAATCTAGCAGTCTCACTCGATCAGAAGGTGGGAAATATATAAATCTAGTGAGCTTATAAGGTTCAAAAGGAATCTAATGCATATGTATATGGAAAGTGGTGCATTGGCCAGGTCGGTCAGTATGGGAACTTAGAGTGCAAATGCCTGGGAGAACGGAACCGCTCAGATCTCGCATAATACACAGAATCTAGTGGTCTCACTCAAATATAAGGTAGGAAATATATTCATCTAATGAACGTAAGGGTTTGAAAGGTAACTAATGCACATGTGTAGAGAAAATGGTGCATCGGCCAGTCTGGCCGGCATTTCGCACTCATAGTTTAGGTGGGGCCAGGTAGAACGGAAACGCTCGTTTCTCAAAAAGTAGAGGGAATCTAACGGTCTCACTCGATCAGAAGGTGGGAAATATATAAATCTAGTCAGCTAAAAAGGTTTGAAATGTATTCAACGCACATGTATAGAGAAAATGGTGCATTGGCCAGGTCGGTCAGTATCGGAACTTAAAATGCAAATGCCAGGGAGAACGGAAGCGCTCAGATCTCGCATAGTACACGGAATCAAGTGGTCTCACTCAAATAGAAAGTAGGAAATATATTCATCTAGTGAACGTAAGGGTTTGAAAGGTAACTAACACACATGTGTAGAGAAAATTGTGCATCGGCCAGTCTGGCCGGCATTTCGCACTTATCGTGCACCTAGGGCCAAGGAGAACGAAAACGCTCATTTCTCAAAAAGTAGAGGGAATCTAGTGGTCTCACTCGATCAGAAGGTGGGAAATATATAAATCTAGTGAGCCAATAAGGTTCGAAAGGAATCTAATGCATATGTATATGGAAAATGGTGCATTGGCCAGGTCGGTCAGTATGGGAACTTAGAGTGCAAATGCTAGGGAGAACGGAAGCGCTCAGATCTCGCATAGTACACGGAATCTAGTGGTCTCACTCAAATAGAAGGTAGGAAATAAATTCATCTAGTGAACGTAAGGGTTCGAAAAGTAACTAACGCACATGTGTAGAGAAAATGGTGCATCGGCCAGTCTGGCCGGCATTTCGCACTTATAGTGCAAGTAGGGCCAAGGAGAACGGAAACGCTAATTTCTCAAAAAGTAAAGGGAATCTAGCGGTCTCACTCGATTAGAAGGTGGGAAATATATAAATCTAGTGAGTTTATAAGGTTCGAAAGGAATCTAATGCAGATGTATATGGAAAATGGTGCATTGGCCAGGTCGGTCAGTATGGGAACTTAGAGTGCAAATGCCTGGGAGAACAGAACCGCTCAGATCTCGCATAATACACGGAATCTAGTGGTCTCACTCAAATATAAGGTAGGAAATATATTCATCTAGTGAATGTAAGGGTTTGAAAGGTAACTAACGCACATGTGTAGAGAAAATTGTGCATCGGCCAGTCTGGCCGGCATTTCGCACTTATAGTGCAAGTAGGGCCAAGGAGAACGGAAACGCTCATTTCTCAGAAAGTAAAGGGAATCTAGCCGGATCACTCGATCAAAAGGTGGGAAATATAGAAATCTAGTGAGCTAATAAGGTTCGGAAGGAATCTAATGTATATGTATATGGAAAGTGGTGCATTGGCCAGGTCGGTCAGTATGGAAACTTAGAGTGCAAATGCCAGGGAGAATGGAAGCGCTCAGATCTCGCATAGTACACGGAATCTAGTGGTCTCACTCAAATAGAAGGTAGGAAATAAATTCATCTAGTGAACGTAAGGGTTTGAAAGGTAACTAACGCACATGTGTAGAGAAAATGGTGCATCGGCCAGTCTGGCCGGCATTTCGCACTTATAGTGCAAGTAGGGCCAAGGAGAACGGAAACGCTCATTTCTCAAAAAGTAAAGGGAATCTAGCGGTCTCACTCGATCAAAAGGTGGGAAATATATAAATCTAGTGAGCTAATAAGGTTTGAAAGGAATCTAATGCATATGTATATAGAAAGTGGTGCATTGGCCAGGTCGGTCAGTATGGGAACTTCAGTGCAAATGCCTGGGAGAACAGAACCGCTCAGATCTCGCATAATACACGGAATCTAGTGGTCTCACTCAAATATAAGGTAGGAAATATATTCATCTAGCGAACGTAAGGGTTTGAAAGGTAACTAACGCACATGTGTAGAGAAAATTGTGCATCGGCCAGTCTAGCCGGCATTTCGCAGTCAGAGTGCAAGTAGGGCCAAGGAGAACGGAAAAGCTCATTTCTCAGAAAGTAAAGGGAATCTAGCGGGATCACTCGATCAAAAGGTGGGAAATATATAAATCTAGTGAGCTAATAAGGTTCAGAAGGAATCTAATGCATATGTATATGGAAAGTGGTGCATTGGCCAGGTCGGTCAGTATGGGAAGTTAGAGTGCAAATGCCTGGGAGAACGGTACCGCTCAGATCTTGCATAATACACGGAATCTAGTGGTCTCACTCAAATATATGGTAGGAAATATATTCATCTAGTGAACGTAAGGGTTGAAAGGTAACTAATGCACATGTGTAGAGAAAATGGTGCATCGGCCAGTCTGGCCGGCATTTCGCACTCATAGTGCAGGTTGGGCCAGGTAGAACGGAAACGCTCGTTTCTCAAAAAGTAGAGGGAATCTAATGGTCTCACTCAATCAGAAGGTGGGAAATATATAAATCTAGTCAGCTAAAAAGGTTTGAAATGTATTCAACGCACATGTATAGAGAAAATGGTGCATTTGCCAGGTCAGTCAGTATCGGAACTTAAAATGCAAATGCCAGGGAGAGCGGAAGCGCTCAGATCTCGCATAGTACACGGAATCAAGTGGTCTCACTCAAATAGAAAGTAGAAAATATATTCATCTAGTGAACGTAAAAGTTTGAAAGGTAACTAACGCACATGTGTAGAGAAAATTGTGCATCGGCCAGTCTGGCCGGCATTTCGCACTTATAGTGCAACTAGGGCCAAGGAGAACGGAAACGCTCATTTCTCAAAAAGAAGAGGGAATCTAGTGGTCTCACTCGATCAGAAGGTGGGAAATATATAAATCTAGTGAGCTAATAAGGTTCGGAAGGAATCTAATGCATATGTATATGGAAAGTGGTGCATTGGCCAGGTCGGTCAGTATGGGAACTTAGAGTGCAAATGCCTGGGAGAACGGAACAGCTCAGATCTCGCATAATACACGGAATCTAGTGGTCTCCCTCAAATATAAGGTAGGAAATATATTCATCTAGTGAACGTAAGGGTTTGAAAGGTAACTAATGCACATGTGTAGAGAAAATGGTGCATCGGCCAGTCTGGCCGGCATTTCGCACTCATAGTGCAGGTGGGGCCAGGGAGAACGGAAACGCTCGTTTCTCAAAAAGTAGAGGGAATCTAACCGTCTCACTCGATCAGAAGGTGGGAAATATATAAATCTAGTCAGCTAAAAAGGTTTGAAATGTATTCAACGCACATGTATAGAGAAAATGGTGCATTGGCCAGGTCGGTCAGTATTGGAACTTAAAATGCAAATGCCAGGGAGAACGGAAGAGCTCAGATCTCGCATAGTACACGGAAGTAAGTGGTCTCACCCAAATAGAAAGTAGGAAATATATTCAACTAGTGAACATAAGGGTTTGAAAGGTAACTAACTTACATGTGTAGAGAAAATTGTGCGTCGGCCAGTCTGGCCGGCATTTCGCACTGATAGTGCAACTAGGGCCAAGGAGAACGGAAACGCTCATTTCTCAAAAAGTAGAGGGAATCTAGCGGTCTCACTCGACCAAAAGGTGGGAAATATATAAATCTAGTGAGCTAAAAAGGTTTGAAAGGAATCTAATGCATATGTATATGGAAAATGGTGCATTGGCCAGGTCGGTCAGTATGGGAACTTCGAGTGCAAATGACATGGACGTGGTCGTGGACGTGGACGTGGACGTGGACATGGACATGGACATGGACGTGGACATGGACGTAGACGTGGACATGGACGTGGACGTGGACATGGACGTGGACATGGACGTAGACGTGGACCTGGACGTGGACGTGGACGTGGACGTGGACGTGGACGTGGTCGTGGACGTGGACGTGGACGTGGACGTGGACATGGACATGGACGGGGACGTGGACGTGGACGTGGACGTGGACGTGGACGCGGACGTGAACGCGGACCTGGACGTGGACGTGGACGTGGACGTGGACGTGGACCTGGACGCGGACATGGACGTGGACATGGACGTAGACGTGGACGTGGACGTGGACGCGGACGTGGATGTGGACGTGGTCGTGGACGCGGACGTGGACGTGGACGTGGACATGGACGGGACGTGGACGTGGAGAACTTGGACGTGGACATGGACGTGAACGTGGACGCGGACGTGGACGTGGAGGACTTGGACGTGGACATGGACGTGGACGTGGACGTGGACATGGACGTGGACGTGGACATGGACGTGGACGTGGACGTGGACATGGACGTGGACGTGGACATGGACGTGGACGTGGACGTCGACGTGGACACGGACGTGGACGTGGACGTGGACATGGAAGTGGACGTGGACGTGGACGTGGAGGTGGACATGGACGTGGACGTCGACGTGGAGGTGGACATGGACGTGGACGTGGACGTGGACGTGGAGGTGGACGTGGACGTGGAGGTGGACGTGGACGTGGACGTGGAGGTGGACATGGACGTGGACGTGGAGGTGGACGTGGACGTGGACGTGGACGTGGACGTGGACGTGGACGTGGACGTGGACGTGGTCGTGGACGTGGACGTGGACGTGGTCGTGGACGTGGACATGGACGTGGACGTGGACGTGGACATGGACGTGGACGTGGACATGGTCGTGGACATGGACGTGGACGTGGACGTGGACGTGGCGATGGACGTGGACGTGGACGTGAACGTAGACGTGGACGTGGACAAGGACGTGGACATGGACGTGGACGTGGACGTGGACATAGACGTGGAGGTGGACGTGACGTGGACGTGGACGTGGACGTGGACGTGGACGTGACGTGGACCTGACATGGACGTGGACGTGGACCTGACGTGGACGTGGACGTGGACGTGGACATGGACGGGGACGGGACGTGGACGTGGACGTGGACATGGACGTGGACGTGGACATGGACATGGACGTGGACGTGACGTGGACGTGGACGTGGACCTGGACATGGACGGGGACGGGACGTGGACGTGGACGTGGACATGGACGTGGACGTGGACATGGACATGGACGTGGACGTGATGTGGACGTGGACGTGGACGTGGACGTGGACATGGACGTGGACGTGACGTGGACCTGACATGGACGTGGACGTGGACCTGACGTGGACGTGGACGTGGACGTGGACATGGACGGGGACGGGACGTGGACGTGGACGTGGACATGGACGTGGACATGGACGTGGACGTGGACGTGGACGTGGACGTGGACGTGGCGATGGACGTGGACGTGGACGTGAACGTAGACGTGGACGTGGACAAGGACGTGGACATGGACGTGGACGTGGACGTGGACGTGGACGTGGACATAGACGTGGAGGTGGACGTGACGTGGACGTGGACGTGGACGTGGACGTGGACGTGACGTGGACCTGACATGGACGTGGACGTGGACCTGACGTGGACGTGGACGTGGACGTGGACATGGACGGGGACGGGACGTGGACGTGGACGTGGACATGGACGTGGACGTGGACATGGACATGGACGTGGACGTGACGTGGACGTGGACGTGGACGTGGACATGCACGTGGACGTGGACGTGGACGTGGACGTGGACGCGGACGCGGACGTGGACGCGGACGTGGACGCGGACATGGACGTGGACGTGGCATGGACGTGGATGTGGACGTAAGGGTTTGAAAGGTAACTAACGCACATGTGTAGAGAAAATTGTGCATCGGCCAGTCTGGCCGGCATTTCGCACTTATAGTGCAAGTAGGGCCAAGGAGAACGGAAACGCACATTTCTCAAAAATTAAAGGGAATCTAGTGATCTCACTCGATCAGAAGGTGGGAAATATATAAATCTAGTGAGCTTATAAGGTTCGAAAGGAATCTAATGCATATGTATATGGAAAATGGTGCATTGGCCAGGTCGGTCAGTATGGGAACTTAGAGTGCAAATGCCAGGGAGAACGGAAGCGCTCAGATCTCGCATAGTACACGGAATCTAGTGGTCTCACTCAAATAAAAGGTAGGAAATAAATTAATCTTGTGAACGTAAGGGTTTGAAAGGTAACTAACGCACATGTGTAGAGAAAATGGTGCATCGGCCAGTATGGCCGGCATTTCGCACTTATAGTGCAAGTAGGGCCAAGGAGAACGGAAACGCTCATTTCTCAAAAAGTAAAGGGAATCTAGCGGTCTCACTCGATCAGAAGGTGGGAAATATATAAATCTAGTGAGCTAATAAGGTTCGGAAGGAATCTAATGCATATGTATATGGAAAGTGGTGCATTGGCCAGGTCGGTCAGTATGGGAACTTAGAGTGCAAATGCCAGGGAGAACGGAAGCGCTCAGATCTCGCATAGTACACGGAATCTAGTGGTCTCACTCAAATAGAAGGTAGGAAATAAATTCATCTAGTGAACGTAATGGTTTGAAAGGTAACTAACGCACATGTGTAGAGAAAATGGTGCATCGGCCAGTCTGGCCGGCATTTCGCACTCATAGTGCAAGTAGGGCCAAGGAGAACGGAAACGCTCATTTCTCAAAAAGTAAAGGGAATCTAGCGGTCTCACTCGATCAGAAGGTGGGAAATATATAGATCTAGTGAGCTAATAAGGTTCGAAAGGAATCTAATGCATATGTATATGGAAAATGGTGCATTGGCCAGGTCGGTCAGTATGGGAACTTAGAGTGCAAATGCCAGGGAGAACGGAAGCGCTCAGATCTGGCATAGTACACGGAATCTAGTGGTCTCACTCAAATAGAAGGTAGGAAATAAATTCATCTAGTGAACGTAAGGGTTTGAAATGTAACTAACGCACATGTGTAGAGAAAATGGTGCATCGGCCAGTCTGGCCAGCATTTCGCACTTATAGTGTAGGTGGGGCCAGGGAGAACGAAAATGCTCGTTTCTCAAAAAGTAGAGGGAATCTAACGGACTCACTCAATCAGAAGGTGGGAAATATATAAATCTAGTCAGCTAAAAAGGTTTGAAATGTATTCAACGCACAGGTATAGAGAAAATGGTGCATTGGCCAGGTCGATCTGTATCGGAACTTAAAATGCAAATGCCAGGGAGAACGGAAGTGCTCAGATCTCGCATAGTACACAGAATCAAGTGGTCTCACCCAAATAGAAAGTAGGAAATATATTCATCTAGTGAACATAAGGGTTTGAAAGGTAACTAACGAACATGTGTAGAGAAAATTGTGCGTCGGCCAGTCTGGCCGGCATTTCGCACTTATAGAGTAACTAGGGCCAAGGAGAACGGAAACGCTCATTTCTCAAAAAGTAGAGGGAATCTAGCGGTCTCACTCGATCAGAAGGTGGGAAATATATAAATCTAGTGAGCTAATAAGGTTCGAAAGGAATCTAATGCATATGTATATGGAAAATGGTGCATTGGCCAGGTCGGTCAGTATGGGAACTTAGAGTGCAAATAACATGGACGTGGTCGTGGACGTGGACGTGGACGTGGATATGGACATGGACGTGGACATGGACGTGGACATGGACATGGACGTTGACGTGGACATGGACGTGGACATGGATGTGGACGTGGACATGGACGTGGACGTGGACGTGGACATGGACGTGGACGTGGACGTGGACGTGGACGTGGTCGTGGACGTGGACGTGGACGTGGACGTGGACATGGACGTGGAAGTGGACGTGGAAGTGGACGTGGAATTGGACGTGGACATGGACGTGGACGAAGACATGGTCCTGGACGTGGACGTGGACGTAGACATGGACGTAGACGTGGACGTGAAGGTGGACATGGACGTGGACCTGGTCGTGGACGTGGACGTGGAGGAACATGGACGTGGACGTGGACGTGGACGTGGATGTGGACGTGGACGTGGACGTGGACGTTGACGTGGACGTGGACCTGGTCGTGGACGCGGACATGGATGTGGACGTGGACATGGACGTGGACGTGGACGTGGACGTGGACGTGGACGTGGACGTGGACGTAGACGTAGACGTGGACGTGGACGTGGACATGGACATGGACGTGGATGTGGACGTGGACGTAGACGTGGACGTGGACGTGGACGTGGAAGTGGACGTGGACGTGGACGTGGACGTGGACGTGGACGTGGAGGACTTGGACGTGGATGTGGACGTGGATGTGGACGTGGACGTGGACGACTTGGACGTGGACATGGACGAGGACATAGACGTAGACATGGACGTAGACATGGACGTAGACGTGGACGTGGACGTAGACGTGGACATGGACGTGGACGTGGACGTGGACGTATACGTGGACGTGGACGTGGTCGTGGACGTGGACGTGGACGTGGACGTGGACATGAAGGTGGACGTGGACGTGGACATGGACGCGGACGTGGATGTGGACGTGGACATGGACGTGGACGTGGACGTGGACATGGTCCTGGACGTGGACATGGACGTGGACGTGGACATGGACGTGGACGTGGACGTGGACGTGGACGTGGACGTGGACATGGACATGGACGTGGACGTGGCGTGGACGTGGACATGGATGTGGACGTGGACGTGGACATGGACGTGGACATGGACGTGGACGTGGACGAAGACATGGTCGTGGACGTGGACGTGGACGTGGACGTAGACATGGACGTAGACTTGGACGTGGACGTGGACGTGGACGTGGACGTGGTCGTGGACGTGGACGTGGACGTGGAGGAACATGGACGTGGACGTAGACGTGGACGTGGACATGGACGTGGGCGTAGACGTGGACGTGGACGTGGACATGGACGTGGACATGGACGTGGACGTGGACGAAGACGTGGTCGTGGACGTGGACGTGAACGTGGACGTGGACGCGGACATGGACGTGGACGTGAACGTGGACGTGGACGCGGACATGGACATGGACGTGGACGTGGACGTGGACATGGTCGTGGACATGGACGTGAACGCGGACATGGACGTGGACGTGGATATGGACGTGGACGAGGTCGTGGACTTGGACGTGGACGTGGACGTGGACATGGTCGTGGACGTGGACGTGGACGTGGACATGGACGTGGACGTGGACGTGGACGTGGACGTGGACGTGGACATGGACGTGGACGTGGACGTGGACGTGGACGTGGACATGGTCGTGGACGTGGACATGGACGTGGACGTGGACGTGGACGTGGACGTGGACGTGGACATGGACGTGGACGTGGACGTGACGTGGATGTGGACATGGACGTGGACGTGGACGTAGACGTGGATATGGACGACGTGGATATGGACGTGGACGTGGACGTGGACGTGGACGTGGACGTGGACATGGACGTGGACGTGGACATGGACGTGGACATGGATGTGGGAAGGGGATGGGGGGAAGTAGGGAAGGGGATGGGGGGAAGCAGGGAAGGGGATGGGGGGAAGCAGGGCAGGGGATACGGGGTAAGAGGGGATAGGATAGGGGGAAGCACGGCTAGGGATACGGGGAAGCAGGGAAGAGGATGGGGGGAACGTGGGCAGATGCCGGGGAGAGAGCTGGGGGGAGGATGGTGGGGAGCAGAGAGGGAATCAAAACGCTGTTCGATTGTGGTGGCGTAGCGACCACCTCTATTTCTCCCCATCTGTTCCTCCCCATCTATCCCACCCCTTCGGAAGGAATGAGGGAGGAAGGATGGGCTGGAGCTAGTGAGATGGGGAGAGGGGAAGAGCGGATGGAAACGCGGAGGAGGACATGGACGTGGACATGGACGTGGACGTGGACGTGGACGTGGACATGGACGTGGACATGGACGTGGACGTGGACGTGGACATGGACGTAGACGTGGACGGGGACATGGACGTGGATGTAGATGTGGACGTGGACATGGACGTGGACGTGGACGTGGACGTGGACGTGGACATGGACGTGGACGTGGACGTGGTTGTGGATGTGGACGTGAACGTAGACGTGGACGTGGACGTGGACGTGGACATGGACATAGACGTGGACGTGGACGTTGACGTGGACATGGACGTGGACGTGGACGTGGACGTGGACGTGGAGGAGTTGGACGTGGACATGGACGTGGACGTGGACATGGACGTGGAAGTGGACGTGGACGTGGACGTGGAGAACTTGGACGTGGACATGGACGTGAACGTGGACGTGGACATGGACGTGGAGGACTTGGACGTGGACATGGACGTGGACGTGGACGTGGACATGGACGTGGGCGTGGACATGGAGGTGGACGTGGACGTGGACGTGGACATGGACGTGGACGTGGACGTGGACGTGGACATGGTCGTGGACATGGACATGAACATGGACATGGACGTGGACGTGGACGTGGTCGTGGACGTGGACGTGGACGTGGACGTGGTCGTGGACGTGGACGTGGACGTGGACGTGGACAAGGACGTGGACGTGGACGTGGACGTGGAGGTGGACATGGACGTGGACGTGGACGTGGACGTGGACGTGGACGTGGTCGTGGACGTGGACATGGACGTGGACGTGGACGTGGACATGGACGTGGACGTGGACGTGACGTGGACGTGGACGTGGACGTGGACGTGGACGTGGACCTGGACGTAGACGTGGACGTGGACATAGACGTGGACATGGACGTGGACGTGGACGTGGACGTGGACATGGACGTGGACGTGGACGTGGAGGTGGACTGGGACGTAGACGTGGACGTGGAGTGGACGTGGACGTGGACGTGGACGTGGACGTGGACGTGGACGTGGACGTGGAGTGGACGTGGACGTGGACGTTGACGTGGACTGGACGTGGACGTGGACATTGACGTGGACGTGGACGTGGACGTGGAGGTGGACATGGACGAGGACGTGGACGTGGACGTGGACGTGGACGTGGTCGTGGACGTGGACATGGACGTGGACGTGGACGTGGACGTAGACGTGGACGTGGACGTGGACGTGGACGTGGACGTGGACGTGGACGTGGATGTGGACGTGGACGTAGACGTGGAGGTGGACGTGGACATAGACATGGACGTGGACGTGGACGTGGACGTGGACTGGGACGTGGACGTGGACGTGGAGTGGACGTGGACGTGGACGTGGACGTGGACGTGGACGTGGACTGGGACGTGGACGTGGACGTGGACGTGGACGTGGACGTGGACGTGGACGTGGACGTGGACGTGGAGTGGACCTGGACGTGGACCTGGTCGTGGACCTGGACGTGGACGTGGACGTGGACGTGGACGTGGACGTGGACGTGGACGTGGAGGTGGACGTGGAGGTGAACGTGGACGTGGACGTGGAGGTGGACGTGGACGTGGACGTGGACGTGGACGTGGAGGTGGACGTGGACGTGGACGTGGACGTGGACGTGGACGTGAACGTGGACGTGGACGTGGACGTGGACCTGGACGTGGACGTGGACGTGGACGTGGACGTGGACGTGGACGTGGACGTAGACATGGACGTGGAGGTGGACGTGGAGTGGACGTGGACGTGGACGTGGACGTGGACGTGGACGTGGACGTGGACGTGGACGTGGACGTGGACATGGACGTGGACGTGGACGTGGACGTGGACGTGGACGTGGACATGGACGTGGACGTGGACATGGACGAGGACGTGGACGTGGACGTGGACGTGGACGTGGACCTGGACGTGGAGAACTTGGACGTGGACGTGGACGTGGACGTGGACGTGGACATGGACGTGGACGTGGATGTGGAGAACTTGGACGTGGACGTGGACGTGGACGTGGACATGGACGTGGACGTGGACGTGGACGTGGACGTGGACGTGGACGTGGAGGACGTGGATGTGGACGTGGACGTGGACATGGACGTGGACGTGGAGAACTTGGACGTGGACATGGACGTGAACGTGGACGTGGACGTGGACGTGGAGGACTTGGACGTGGACATGGACGTGGACGTGGAGTGGACGTGGACGTGGACGTGAACGTGGACGTGGACGTGGACATGGACGTGGACGTGGACGTGGACGTGGACGTGGACGTGGACGACGTGGACGTGGACGTGGACGTGTACGTGGACGTGGATGTGGACATGGAGGTGGACATGGACGTGGACGTGGACGTGGACATGGACGTGGACATGGACGTGGACGTGGACGTGGACGTGGAGTGGACGTGGAGTGGACGTGGACGTGGACATGGACGTGGACGTGGACGTGGACGTGGACGTGGACGTGCACGTGCACGTGGACGTGGACGTGGACGTGGACGTGGACGTGGACGTGGACGTGGAGGACGTGGACGTGGACGTGGACGTGGACGTGGACGTGAACAAGACGTGGACGTGGAGATGGACGTTGACGTGGACGTGGACGTGGACATGGACGTGGACGTGGACATGGACGTGGACGTGGACGTGGACAGGGACGTGGACATGTACGTGGACGTCGACGTGGAAGAAGACGTGGACGTGGAGAACTTGGACGTGGACATGGACGTGGACATGGACGTGGACGTGGATGTTGACGAAGACATGGTCGTGGATGTGGACGTGGACGTGGACGTGGACATGGACTTAGACGTGGACGTGGACGTGGACGTGGACGTGGACGTGGACGTGGTCGTGGACGTGGACGTGGTCGTGGACATGGACGTGGACGTGGACATGGACGTGGACGTGGACGTGGACGTAGACATGGACGTGGACCTGGACGTGGACGAGGACGTGGACGTGGACATGGACGTGGACGTGGACGTAGACAGGGACATGGACTTGGACATGGACGTGGACGTGGACATGGACGTGGACGTGGACATGGACATGGACATGGACGTGGACGTGAACGTGGACGTGGACATAGACGTGGACGTGGACGTGGACATGGACATGGACACGTCCATGTCCATGTCCACATCCACGTCCATGTCCACGTCCACGTCCATGTCCACGTCCATGTCCATGTCCATGTCCACGTCCACGTCCACGTCCACGTCCATGTCATTTGCACTCTAAGTTCCCATACTGACCGACCTGGCCAATGCACCATTTTCCATATACATATGTATTAGATTCCTTTCGAACCTTATTAGCTCACTAGATTTATATATTTCCCACCTTCTGATCGAGTGAGACCGCTAGATTCCCTCTACTTTTTGAGAAATGAGCGTTTCCGTTCTCCTTGGCCCTAGTTGCACTATAAGTGCGAAATGCCGGCTAGACTGGCCGATGCACAATTTTCTCTACGCATGTGCGTTAGTTACCTTTCAAACCCTTACGTTCACTAGATGAATAGATTTCCTACTTTCTATTTGAGTGAGACCACTTGATTCCGTGTACTATGCGAGATCTGAGCGCTTCCGTTCTCCCTGGCATTTGCATTTTAAGTTCCGATACTGACCGACCTGGCCAATGCACCATTTTCTCTATACATTTGCATTGAATACATTTCAAACCTTTTTAGCTGACTAGATTTATATATTTCCCACCTTCTCATCAAGTGAGACAGTTAGATTCCCTCAACTTTTTGAGAAACGAGCGTTTCCGTTCTCCCTGGCCCCACCTGCACTATGAGTGCGAACCGCCGGCTAGAGTGGCCAATGCACCATTTTCTCTACACATGTGCGTTAGTTACCTTTCAAACCCTTACGTTCACTAGATGAATTTATTTCCTACCTTCTATTTGAGTGAGACCACTAGATTCCGTGTATTATGCGAGATCTGAGCGGTTCCGTTCTCCCAGGCATTTGCACTCTAAGTTCCCATACTGACCGACCTGGCCAATGCACCACTTTCCATATATATATGCATTAGATTCCTTCCGAACCTTATTAGCTCACTAGATTTATATATTTCCCACCTTCTGATCGAGTGAGACCGCTAGATTCCCTTTACTTTTTGAGAAATGAGCGTTTCCGTTCTCCTTGGCCCTACTTGCACTATAAGTGCGAAATGCCGGCCAGACTGGCCGATGCACCATTTTCTCTACACATGTGCATTAGTTACCTTTCACACCATTACGTTCACTAGATGAATTTATTTCCTACCTTCTATTTGAGTGAGACCACTAGATTCCGTGTACTATGCGAGATCTGAACGCTTCCGTTCTCCCTGGCATTTGCACTCTAAGTTCTTATACTGACCGACCTGGCCAATGCACCATTTTCCATATACATATGCATTAGATTCCTTTCGAACCTTATTAGCTCACTAGATTTATATATTTCCCACCTTCTGATCGAGTGAGACCGCTAGATTCCCTATACTTTTTGAGAAATGAGCGTTTCCGTTTTCCTTGGCCCTAGTTGCACTATAAGTGCGAAATGCCGGCCAGACTGGCCGATGCACCATTTTCTCTACACATGTGCGTTAGTTACCTTTCAAACCCTTACGTTCACTAGATGAATATATTTCCAACTTTCTATTTGAATGAGACCACTTGATTCCGTGTACTATGCGAGATGTGAGCGCGTCCGTTCTCCCTGGCATTTGCATTTTAAGTTCCGATACTGATCGACCTGGACAATGCACCATTTCCTCTATACATGTGCGTTGAATACATTTCAAACCTTTTTAGCTGACTAGATTTATATATTTCCCACCTTCTGATCGAGTGAGACCATTAGATTCCCTCTACTTTTTGAGAAACGAGTGTTTCCGTTCTCTCTGGCCCCACCTGCACTATGAGTGCGAAATGCCGGCCAGACTGGCCGATGCACCATTTTCTCTACACATGTGCGTTAGTTACCTTTCAAACCCTTATGTTCACTACATGAATATATTTCCTACCTTATATTTGAGTGGGACCACTAGATTCCGTGCATTATGCGAGATCTGAGCGGTTCCGTTCTCCCAGGCATTTGCACTCTAAGTTCCCATACTGACCGACCTAGCCAATGCACCACTTTCCATATACATATGCATTAGATTCCTTCCGAACCTTATAAGCTCACTAGATTTATATATTTCCCACCTTCTGATCGAGTGAGACCGCTAGATTCCCTTTACTTTTTGAGAAATGAGCGTTTCCGTTCTCCTTGGCCCTACTTGCACTATAAGTGCGAAATGCCGGTCAGACTGGCCGATGCACCATTTTCTCTACACATGTAGGTTAGTTACCTTTCAAACCTTTACGTTCACTAGATGAATTTATTTCCTACCTTCTATTTGAGTGAGACCACTAGATTCCGTGTACTATGCGAGATCTGAGCGCTTCCGTTCTCACTGGCATTTGCACTCTAAGTTCCCATACTGACCGACCTGGCCAATGCACCATTTTCCATATACATATGCATTAGATTCCTTTCGAACCTTATTAGCTCACTAGATTTATATATTTCCCACCTTTTGATCGAGTGAGACCGCTAGATTCCCTTTACTTTTTGAGAAATGAGCGTTTCCGTTCTCCTTGGCCCTACTTGCACTATGAGTGCGAAATGCCGGCCAGACTGGCCGATGCACCATTTTCTCTACACATGTGCGTTAGTTACCTTTCAAACCCTTACGTTCACTAGATGAATATATTTCCTACTTTCTATTTGAGTGAGACCACTAGATTCCGTGTACTATGCGAGATCTGAGCGCTTCCGTTCTCCCTGGCATTTGCATTTTAAGTTCCGATACTAACCGACCTGGCCAATGCACCATTTTCTCTATACATGTGCGTTGAATACATTTCAAACCTTTTTAGCTGACTAGATTTATATATTTCCCACCTTCTGATCGAGTGAGACCATTAGATTCCCTCTACTTTTTGAGAAACGAGCGTTTCCGTTCTCCTTGGCCCCACCTGCACTATAAGTGCGAAATGCCGGCCAGACTGGCCGATGCACCATTTTCTCTACACATGTGCGTTAGTTACCTTTCAAACCCTTACGTTCACTAGATGAATATATTTCCTACCTTATATTTGAGTGAGACCACTAGATTCCGTGTATTATGCGAGATCTGAGCGGTTCCGTTCTCCGAGGCATTTGCACTTTAAGTTCCCATACTGACCGACCTGGCCAATGCACCATTTTCCATATACATATGCATTAGATTCCTTTCGAACCTTGTAAGCTCACTAGATTTATATATTTCCCACCTTGTGATCGAGTGAGAGTGCTAGATTCCCTTTACTTTTTGAGAAATGAGCGTTTCCGTTCTCCTTGGCCCTACTTGCACTATAAGTGCGAAATGCTGGCCAGACTGGCCGATGCTCCATTTTCTCTACACATGTGCGTTAGTTACCTTTCAAACCCTTACGTTCACTAGATGAATTTATTTCCTACCTTCTTTTTGAGTGAGACCACTAGATTCCGTGTACTATGCGAGATCTGAGCGCTTCCGTTCTCCCTGGCATTTGCACTCTAAGTTCCCATACTGACCGACCTGGCCAATGCACCATTTTCCATATACATATGCATTAGATTCCTTTCCAACCTTATTAGCTCACTAGATTTATATATTTCCCACCTTCTGATCGAGTGAGACTGCTAGATTCCCTTTACTTTTTGAGAAATGAGCGTTTCCGTTCTCCTTGGCCCTACTTGCACTATAAGTGCGAAATGCCGGCGAGACTGGCCGATGCTCCATTTTCTCTACACATGTGCGTTAGTTACCTTTCAAACCCTTACGTCCACTAGATGAATTTATTTCCTACCTTCTATTTGAGTGAGACCACTAGATTCCGTGTACTATGCGAGATCTGAGCGCTTCCGTTCTCCTTGGCATTTGCACTCTAAGTTCCCATACTGACCGACCTGGCCAATGCACCATTTTCCATATACACATGTATTAGATTCCTTTCGAACCTTATTAGCTCATTAGATTTATATATTTCCCACCTTCTGATCGAGTGAGACCGCTAGATTCCCTCTACTTTTTGAGAAATGAGCGTTTCCGTTCTCCTTGGCCCTAGTTGCACTAAAAGTGCGAAATGCCGCCCAGACTGGCCGATGCACCATTTTCTCTACACATGTGCGTTAGTTACCTTTCAAACCCTTACGTTCACTAGATGAATTTATTTCCTACATTCTATTTGAGTGAGACCACTAGATTCCGTGTACTATGCGAGATCTGAGCGCTTCCGTTCTCCCTGGCATTTGCATTTTAAGTTCCGATACTGACCGACCTGGCCAATGCTCCATTTTCTCTATACATGTGCGTTGAATACATTTCAAAACTTTTTAGCTGACTAGATTTATATATTTCCCACCTTCTGATCGAGTGAGACCATTAGATTCCCTCTACTTTTTGAGAAACGAGCGTTTCCGTTCTCCCTGGCCCCACCTGCACTATGAGTGGGAAATGCCGGCCAGACTGGCCGATGCACCATTTTCTCTACACATGTGCGTTAGTTACCTTTCAAACCCTTACGTTCACTAGATGAATATATTTTCTACCTTATATTTGAGTGAGACCACTAGATTCCGTGTATTATGCGAGATCTGAGCGGTTCCGTTCTCCCAGGCATTGGCACTTTAAGTTCCTATACTGACCGACCTGGCCAATGCACCATTTTCCATATATATATGCATTAGATTTCTTTCGAACCTTATAAGCTCACTAGATTTATATATTTCCCACCTTCTGATCGAGTGAGAGTGCTAGATTCCCTTGACGTTTTGAGAAATGAGCGTTTCCGTTCTCCTTGGCCCTACTTGCACTATAAGTGCGAAATGCTGGCCAGACTGGCCGATGCTCCATTTTCTCTACACATGTGCGTTAGTTACCTTTCAAACCCTTACGTTCACTAGATGAATTTATTTCCTACCTTCTTTTTGAGTGAGACCACTAGATTCTGTGTACTATGCGAGATCTGAGCGCTTCCGTTCTCCCTGGCATTTGCACTCTAAGTTCCCATACTGACCGACCTGGCCAATGCACCATTTTCCATATACATATGCATTAGATTCCTTTCGAACCTTATTAGCTCACTAGATTTATATATTTCCCACCTTCTGATCGAGTGAGACTGCTAGATTCCCTTTACTTTTTGAGAAATGAGCGTTTCCGTTCTCCTTGGCCCTACTTGCACTATAAGTGCGAAATGCCGGCGAGACTGGCCGATGCTCCATTTTCTCTACACATGTGCGTAAGTTACCTTTCAAACCCTTACGTCCACTAGATGAATTTATTTCCTACCTTCTATTTGAGTGAGACCACTAGATTCCGTGTACTATGCGAGATCTGAGCGCTTCCGTTCTCCTTGGCATTTGCACTCTACGTTCCCATACTGACCGACCTGGCCAATGCACCATTTTCCATATACATATGCATTAGATTCCTTTCGAACCTTATTAGCTCATTAGATTTATATATTTCCCACCTTCTGATCGACTGAGACCGCTAGATTCCCTCTACTTTTTGAGAAATGAGCGTTTCCGTTCTCCTTGGCCCTACTTGCACTATAAGTGCGAAATGCCGGCCAGACTGGCCGATGCGCAATTTTCTCTACACATGTGCGTTAGTTACCTTTCAAACCCTTACGTTCACTATATGAATTTATTTCTTACCTTCTATTTGAGTGAGACCACTAGATTCCGTGTACTATGCGAGATCTGAGCGCTTCCGTTCTCCGAGGCATTTGCACTCTAAGTTCCCATACTGACCGACCTGGCCAATGCACCACTTTCCATATACATATGCATTAGATTCCTTCCGAACATTATTAGCTCACTAGATTTATATATTTCCCACCTTCTGATCGAGTGAGACCGCTAGATTCCCTTTACTTTTTGAGAAATGAGCGTTTCCGTTCTCCTTGGCCCTAGTTGCACTAAAAGTG